AGCTCATGAGTCTTCCAAAAAAGCGAGACTGTCCCATCAACTGCTCGCCCTTCTGTCTTTGTGAGAATCACCTTGCACATTCACACATCTCTTGGCTATCTTAGTATCACTCTTCTCATAGCTCTTCAGAGCCTGCATAGTCAGGGTTTAAGCCTCATTCTTATTTTACATGCCACACCTCCAAAATTCAAAAGCAAAACTGAGGAAACAATGAAGACACATTCACTTTCCCTTTATGTCAAATGCAGCAAGCTGCCCCTTTAACACAAAGGATCAAGAGCGGTGAACCACAATTAACCTGTGATAGTTGTCTGGAGTCTTTCTGACAAAATTCAAAGTTTCAATGGAAATAGAGAAGTCACTTGCACCAGCACAGAACAAACAAAAGAGGTCAGAGATTCTTCCACATTCTCACAAGTCCAAAGGATACATACTTGGTGTGATCAGAGCAGAACATCTGAAACCTAGAACATGTGATACACGTAATCCCAGCAATAAATGAAAGCAGCCTGAAGCAGTAGTAGACAATGGGTGGGGAAGGTGGATATAAGGTATCCACTACCCAGCTAAGGCTAAGGCAGGCCAGCGATAAAAAGTAAGTCCTGATTTGGGAGACTGCAAAAGCAGTATAAGATTATCAGGGGGTATAGAACAGGGGTCTTAGTTTGCAAGCTGGGGCATGCAAGAGAGTGGAGTGTACAATTGGTTTTCTGTGTAGAATTTTTGGGATATAAATTAATACATTTTTTCTATTAGAACAGGCACAGGAAGCTAATGTTTTAAGTGGTACTGGATTTCCTGCACCCATATTGTTAAATTGATTTGTACGTGAGCAGTAAATACATGCAATGTGACCCAGAAGCACCTACTGTGTAAATGCTCTAACTATGCTGTGAACGGGCATGAAGTCCGATTCTCCTTCAAAAAGCTGCATGCTTACTGCACATCAGATATTTCCAGAATTTCCAGACATAAGGCATACTGTTTGGGGTTCCTGAAAGCCTGAGATGCCAAATGCCTAGGCAGCATCTTCTAGCTTCCCACCTCATTTGATACTTCCAGGCAAGTAAAAATAAAAATGAAAATATATAAAGCAGAGCCGGTTTGGAAACCTGGACATATGGCAGGTATGTGCACACAGTCGTGAACCCCTGAGCAGCTGCTGCTATCACTATCACTAAGAATGACACCGAAGCAAACCAAACTTGGAAACCTTTAGATCGAAAAATTGAAAAAGTCCAGTTTTATACAATTTAACCCAGATTAGACAGCCTGCCAACAAAACATCATTTCTCAATGAACCTGAGCACCTTGGCTGAAATTATGAGTGAAGAAGTATTTTGAGCATGTCAAGCAGTAAGAAGAGGAGAATCCCTTGTTTCTGACTGCAGTAGTCCTTCCAGGCTGTCTGGTATAATTTGGACTGCCATTCTACCATCTGAGTGATGACAGGGAAGCTTGGTTGCCTGCCTCCCCTAACCAAGTTAGATAAATCTGTCAGAAGATTAAAAAAAAAAAGCTGAGTACTTTAGAAGAGCTAGGTTGGTCTTGTCTTTAGGTTTGAGAAAGATGTTAAAGAACAAGAAGCCAATGAAACAGAAGTCTGAGAAAACACTGACCATTTCACTGCTGAATTTTTGCCAACTGAGTGCTCATATGAGTTCTGAAGGATGAATTTGAGCAAGGATGGCTGCTGTTGAATCCAGAGTGCCCACTGAAAACACAGAAATCTGTACCAGTTAGAAAGAAATCTTCCTCATTAGCTTTGGTCCAGGTCTTGGAGACTAAGTGACCTGCAGAGCCCAAGTTATTCTTCTGAGAAGAAATCCACTGTCTTTTTCAAAAAAACAAGTGACAAAGCAGTTGCAGATTGCAGTGCCAGAAGCTTCTAGGAAAGTCTACCGTCCCCACCAGGAGGGATTATGCAATTATTTGCCAACAGGTACAGTAACAGGAAAGATAGTTTGGGTTCTGAATCAACAAGCATCGTTCTCTTAAACACCTGATTTTTTACCTTTATTATGCAACTGAGAATGCTTTCAAGAGAATGCTTTTTTAAGAGCAGTTCTAGTAAGGTCTTGGCTTCAGTGACTGGAAATTAATTTCACAGGATAATGAGGAATCACTTTCATATTTGTTGTCCTTAGATTACATTAGTAAAATTCTGATTAAAATTATGTATGGGAATCTTAAATACTTCTGCTACAAAACATGTAACCACATTTAGTGCCTTTACAGCAGAATGTGAAAGGGTGACAATCCTGCCTAATGGATAGAGTGAGAAGCAGAGATAGAACTGGAATAGGGCACTGAGACAGGACTAGGGTTAAAGATTTGGCATAGCCTCAATGAGCTACAGAGGACAACAAAGGCAAGGCCGCAGCAAACGTGGCAGAGGCTGGCAGCCATGTTACGGTAGTCAGAAGTAAGCCCATGTACATCTTGGAACATCTCACCTCTTGTGTAGCCCTGCAGGCTTCTGCGTCTGGTGCACAGTGAAAGCCTAAACCATCATTTCAGTGGGAATAGGGCCAATGCTTATAGAAAGGGACCCAAAAAAAAAAATCTCAAAAGGCACAGCAATGCAGATTTATAAAATCACATTTTAACATATCCAGAACCGTTCTCTGTCTCTATATTACAAACTTGAGATCTCCTTTGCCTTTTGGCGAGCAGACTACTGATTTGGCACCTCATCTCATACAGTCAAAAGAATTCAACAAAAGAAGGGAGAGCTTATTTTGAGAAACGTTTAGATAAGTCAGTACTGGGAGAGTGGAAATTAAAGAGGAGGAAGATTTGTCAGTAAGAATAGCCCAAAACCTATAGATTGCAAGCATCAAACTAAAATTTTCAAACAAACCTCAACAGCACTAAAATGGCTTAGATTTACCACAGAGCCATACAAAAACTGTAAGGACTGAGTTTCAGAGGCAGATGTTTGAACTGAAGCCAAGTGCAAGCCAGATAAGAGACCCATTTACAAAACATTTCCATCCTTGCTGAATTCTACGACTGATAGACCAGAACCTTAATGGAACAAAACAGGAAACTTTTCTTCAAACAGTCATCCAGCACTGAGCACAGGCTGACACCCATCAGATGACCCTCTATGAACTGCTTGCTCCAATATAACAGATTAAGTAGCAAAAAAGGCATTTACAATACAAGATAGCCATCTCCATATATCATGGCCTTGATATTCCTTTTGGAATTCTCTCATTAAATAAAAGTTCACAGCCCAAGTAATCCAGCACTGCCTCAAGAATCCCTGTTTTTCATTTCCAGATTTACATAAAACTTTTAACTCTCTGTATTCTGGCCATTCAATACAAGCAGCCATGAAGATAAAGTAATTCAATAAAGAGTCTTAAGACACCTTTCTGTCTCTTGCTCTGAGGATAAAAATAGAGCAGCTAAAGTACTAAAAGACCAAATGGTTCATAAAAGGTTTGAAGATAGGATCTCATACCAGCTGTGGCCGGACAGTTCTGAGGTACTTTTGGATTGCTGTACAAAATAAAAAAGAATTTCTAAAGGCACTGAACTATGCATACAATGCTAGATGAAGCACAACCCTGTAAGTCATTCAGAGTGGAGTTCTGGGCATTAAATGGTGGGTTCTCAGATCTACAGGTAACATATAACTGAAACTGTTTCAGAGCAACATGGTAATTACAGTAACTTCTGCAGAGTTCTGCAATAGAAGATTTTAATGCTGAGTAATCCTCTTCCAGCTATGTCTGTGAGTCCATGCAGAGGTGCAAGCAGAGTTGAGAAAGGAACAGAAGCTCTAGGACAGCCTGCACTCTGCTGCGCTCTCAAGCTATGTAGGAGGGGAAGGCAGTTGACACCTGTTGGATAAGTTCTTTATTTGGATTAGGTAATAGCTCACCTGGCTGGCCTCCAAGAATCACCACCACCTCTCTCAATAACTCTAAACCCCAGAGGCAAACATTATGCTGGAACAGAAACAGGTCAGGAATTCATTTCTTGCATTCCTCTTCTTTGGGCAGGATGAAAAGCAGTGACTGATGAAATAAGAACAATTTTACTTTCCAAATCCCATTCCAATCCTCCTATTGAAGGACCCATGTGGGAAAGGATGACCACTCAAGTCACATGCCTTTCGCCCCATGTGCCTGCCTCTCTCACCTCCCTCCATTTTCCAGTAGTATTCAGGCACCAAAAATCAGTATTTTCATGTATACAGTGCTTTCCAGTCCTAAACTCATGTGTTAGAGAAGTTCTGCCTCATTATTCTATTTTAAAAGACAAAAATTAAGGCTTATGCAAAGGAATAAGTAGTATTTACTAAAGTGACAAAGGAAGAACTCAAATTTTCAGCAGTTCTAGGCCTATATTCAGCCCAGTCTATTGCAGCAAGCTCACCTTGCTCCTAGCTTCCAAGATCCAGAATGCTTTGGCGTTAATTTTGCTGCTCTTTCAATCCCAGAAAGAACGGTTTTACTGCAGAATCACAGTCCTCTGCCCTGAGTCCCATGAGTATATCAGCCATAAATATAAATTCCAATGTCCAAAATTAACAAAGAGCATAAAGAAGCCATATGAAAAAGAAACTGTTATGAACACTGCAAGATGCTGCTCTTTCTTCGCACAATCTAAACTTGATATTCAAGGGAAAAGCATGATGATGAGGCCTTAGTGGAGTTTTCTGCAGTATCAGATATAAGTTTGCATTCTGCATGTATGTTTCAACACCAGCAAACCTAAACTTACAGATGCAGACATGAGAAATGATCAAACAGACATTTCCCTTTCATTCTACATGTTCATCCATGCCTTTATTTCACCATGAACCTGCTAGCTCTGGGAACATAGCTCTGTTTTCATAGGTCAAGTTTCTAGGACAGTCCTGAGAACCAGTACTAGGTCCTTAGATATTATCTTCTGAGCAAGAAGCCAAACACAAGTTACAAATGAACTCCTGAGTGCATTGCATTCTTCTTCAAAAAGCTGGAGCAGCAATTTTAACTTACCTGACTGCTGAAGTGACAGATCTTTTGTCAGCTATTTGAGTGTCTGACCGAACAGCCCACAATGACCCTCTTTTGTTGAGTGGTGATTGGTAGCTCTGTGAGGCGGCTGCATTCCCCTTGCTTATAGCTCCACTTGCCAAGTTCAGGTTTGTTAACTAAAGAGGGAAAAAAAAAAAACCACAAAAGAAAAAGGAGACATCAGAAAGTTAAAAGCCAAGAAAAGAGCAAAAGGTGTCACTAAGTAAACTGAAGAGAGTATGCACTAAGAGAAATAAGACTGCTAGAGAGGGGAAATCTTCAGATGCAGAAAAACTGTGCTAGTTGCATAAAGCGATGGGAGAGATGACACTGACAGCCACCATGCTTAAGATGAATTCAAGTACCAGCATTAAAACTACAACCCTTCCATTCACAGCAGAACAAGAGAGGAAAAGGACAAAGAGGGGGCAAAAATCCCAGAGAAAGCAACATCACATTGCTGCCATCTGAAAAATTAACTCTACATGCACTAATCAAAAGCTAGAAGCTCCTATTACACTGAGCAGAAACCAGTGTCTGCTCAGTCATCATGAGCTGTGTCACTAAGCCAGCCATATGCCTGTGTCCTCTCTCTACCCCTCTCTATGCATACACACAGGCACAACCCAACAGCATATGTACCTTGGATATAAAATTCAAAACCAAACTCTACCACACATGGAAGAAATGTCTCACCCAACCACTTCCAAACTGTTCACACAAGTAAATGCACTAGTTAATGATAACCTAAAATCATGTTAGGCCTATGTTTGTTATATTACGCTCTAGAGAAATTATCTGTGTGTTTTAAGCACATAAAAAGTATTCCATTGTTTCCTTCTCTGAGCATTCTTCTTGCCTTGCTTATCTTCTTGAAAGATCAAATTCTGCAAGCACACACTATCTGTTGGTTTACTGACGAAAGCCTAAATACATAACGTAATGCTATCTACTACAGCAGTGTAAGTATTATTTTACATTTAGGAAAAAAAAAATTGAAGGTTACAAAACACCACAAAGATTGCAAAACTAAGATTCCCAGTCAGGAATTGCCAGAATTAAGTTTATGACTGCCTTTAATTGCATGATCACATGTTGCTTTTTAGGAGCACAGAACACACCTGGTTCTGCACCAAGATTAAGGTCATATGGCAAGCAAGACTTACCTGTATTCGCCCTGCTCACTTCTGTGGCAACCGGAAGGCGTATAGCCAATGAAATATAGGACACAGACAGAAAGAAGAGTCTAACGAATAGCCCTGCATCTGCTCCAGATCACAAAGGTGATACTTACTTAAGTATGACTTAAGCACAGCTTGTGAATTCCCAGTTTTGAAACCTTAATAATGCTCTTTTACTAGAATTTGCGTACAGTTACTCAAACAAGTACATACCAGCTTCATTGCAATACACTACACTCATACCTACAACAGACTTGTGCAGGACTGCAGACCTCATATCCTCTGACTGAACTCTGGAACATGAACTAACATTGCAACTGGCAAAACAGTAGGTTGCCACTCCTTTTGCAGTTTAGTAAAACAAGGCATCTAAGTACTTTTTAAGTTCAGAAATCTTAACTCCTACTTCAAGTTCTGGACATTAAATTATAGTGGCTATGCACTAGGCTTCTGCCCACTTCTCTAAAAGCAACTGTTTTCGTCTCATCCCTTCTCAGCTCTCTTCTTCCCCTTTCTTGCTCCTTGTCTGTGTGTCATTATTCTCATCTAGTCAGTTCCAGTGTCCACATTTCAGATGTCATTCTCCTTATTCCACTCAATCCAGTTTCGGTCTTACAGACTTCCAGCACTGGCTTCCCCACTACTTCTGGCCCCTGAGCCACACAATTTCAGGTCTAGAACTTTCCATGGCAGTAATTTGATCTGTCTTCCCACACTTGTTGTTCTTAGTTCCTCTTCCAGTTACTCACATGCCCTATATCTGAGGGGTTCTAGTTTTATTCCCTTCCCCAGTCTGTTCCTTTTGTCAACCTCTTCGTTCACTCAATCCCAGAATGTGGGCTTCTCATTGGACCACATTTACCACACTGCCATTCCTTCCATTTCTGTCCTTTTGCCTGAATGGTTCTGAGAGTCCTCTCCCAAATTATGTCCAGGTCCAAATTTCACAGTCTCCTTGTCCTAGCTGTTCTCCACACTTTGGCAGAATTCCCACTCATTCTGCATTCAACACAACATGGACCAGGTCACTGAGAACACAGGAGAATGCGGTCTCAAGCCTTAGTACTCTAGAGGTGCAAATACAGAGAAATTCAGCTTAGCATCCCCAGTGTGGAAGGAACCTCCAGGAAGCTGAGAAGCTCTAGCAAGTGCTGCTGAATATATTTCACCTGCAGCTTTTCAGATAGTTACTGTGCAATGTGGGACATATCAGGCAAGCTTAGTAATGGACAGTGCTACCCATCTTATATGGAAAATATTAGGTGTCATTTTGGTACCTCTACCTCACCTTTAAATGTTTTTCTCTTCTGTAGAATTTAATTAAAATTTAAAGCATTTTCATTGCAATAACTGAAAGCTTCAAATCAGGTTTAGTCCTGATCGTGCCAGGCACTATACAAATACCTAACAAAGAGTTTATTGTTTGAAAAGAAGCAAGAATGGCAAATGAGGCAAACACAGAGGCCAACATGGTAAATGAAATAGGTTATATACAATTCTTATCTTGCCAGCAACAGTGATCACAACTTTGCTAACACATCCAATGTGTGAAATGAAAATGACTTTATCCCATTTTCTCTCCTCATCATCTTGATTCCATCATTTAGCCTGATGAATTATGACTTCACCCCTGCTCTATTAATGCGATACGCTTCTCTCTAATACTGTATCATTGTTTATTTGAAAGCTGTCTTTCTAAGCAAAGCACGTGAGCAAATAGCTTAGCATAGGTAGTAGGGACATTTCACACATTCCAGATAGACAGGTGTTTAAACTACAGCAGAATTAAACACAGGCAAGGGATCCAGAATGAGGGAGAGAACACCAGCAGGAGTATAAGGTTTAGCTGCAGCCAGCCCACCCAGATGGGTGTTACTGCTTGTTATGCCATGCACTGAGACATTTCAGCTGCTACAACTAATTTGCCAGGATGTTGCCTTGGTAGATTGCTGGGGCGTCCCTAAATAATCTGCCTTGGTAGATTGCTGGGGCACCCCCAAATAATCTGTGCTCAGCAGAGTGGCTTCATTTTCTACTCATTAGTCTCCTGTGCACCTGATGAAACTGGATTCTTCCCTTTATAGAGGCAAATACTTAGCAGCAAATCAATTGTTACTTTGGCTTAAAAGAAGATAATGTATAGCACCTGGGCCAAAGCAGATACCAAAATCTCCACAAAGAACAGTTTGCAGCTTCAGAAGTTGTAGTAGTCAAAAACAAAAAACAAACAAACAGACAAAAGCAAACAAAACTAAAAGAAACAACAACAACAACAAAACCCACAAAAAACAAGGCAGGCAGGCTACTGGGGCTCAACAGGGAAGGTGGCTATTGGTGTGGATCTACAAGAATAAAGTTAGTTTTCACATTGAGTTGTATCCAGATGGGTTCAAACTCTCCTGCTTGGTAAGATTCCTGTTTTTCACTAGCAGTCAGGGCCTTCAGAATATTTTTTCTGACACTGGCATTATGACAGGAGACCTGTGTGTGCTGCACTCCACGCTTCAAGCATCCCTATTTTCAAACATCTCTCCTCACATCAAGACGTTCTCTGTGGAGTCTGTAAAAGGCAGGATAAGTACACAGCTAATATCTCTCATGGTAGAAGGATTCATAAAGTTTTGCCACAATTTTTAAACTGTTGGGGACAGCAAAAAGGTTAGAAGATGAAAGGAACATGCTGACTGAAGAACACAACGGGATAGTAAATCCCAAAAAGCTCTCAAGGAAGCAGAGCCCACTTGATGTACTTCTATTTATAATCTAACATCAAGAAATAAGGGAGGGAACAACATGCAAGCTGTCACAGCCATATTGATAAATAGAGCCTTGTGTTAGAAAACCTAACAGCAGACATATGTACTGTTATACTTAGTTTGATACAATGCTAATAAGCCAAAGTACAAATTATTACATAATGCCAAAATACTCCTTTTTTTTCCATTTTTAAGTGTTAAAAGGTAAGTTTATGACTGCAATACACTTGCCGCCTTGGCAGCAGAGACATATACACTGAAAAGAACTAGTCTCTATGGTCTTGCTTTACTCAGGGAAATTTTTTTCTGAATAAATTTAATATTGAAAGCAAGGCCACAACACAGAATGATACCCAAAAGCGCTGGTTATAAGAGTTAAGGGTTCTGGTTTTGTTAATCTGCTTTATAATTTAAATAGGAAATATGAAATCTCCAAATACTAATAGGAAGAAAGACAATTTCAGAATAGAATTTCTTTCCAACAAATAGCATCCTACAAAGACCCATTGTATAGTACCTTTAAGAAATCATAAACAAATGTCAGAAAAGGAGCTTAATCTTTCACATTTCTGATCTACATTATACTATTCTTTCAATAGTTTCCCATTATCATATTCAAGAACCTTTTTTCTATAATAAAGTGAGTATTTTCATTTTGAGCTTGTCTAATGTTCCAAATAAGCTAAAGCAGCAGATGTTAACAATGGCCAAAAATTAAAAAATAAAAAGTAAAAAAAAGAAAAAAAATCAGTGCTGCAGATCAGCCTCCGTAGATTCAGGAAAAGCCTCCTAAAAGCCTGAGTGTTTCTCTTGCTAGTTTGCAGGAGTCAACCAGGGTGAACAGGGACACATCATCACTAGAAGTTGTTACTCTGCCCCTCTTGGCAGAGAGTGGTAAAGTGACTTAAATTTTCATTACCAACATTCTGAACAGTGGATCCTGAGTTTCACTGGTCAATGTGTTACAACACTGAGCAAGCAATGCACTTCAGAAAATGCCTACTTCACACTCCCCAGCTGGCAGTTTTAGTATTTTTCTGCCAGAGGCCAGTCATATCCTGTTGCCTATGAAGTGCTGGGGACTGGAGATCTACAAAGTCTGAAGACCATTTCTCTTACTTGGAGACACGCTCTCTAGTTCACACATCTCACATTTCCATTTTGGTTTTTCTGGATCCCTTTTCCTCCTCACCAATTAGC